ACAAAATCTGGGTTCAAGGGTGACCTATACTGAATGATATTGAAATATAAGAAAATCCTTGTTATGGTGTAAAGCAAGGTTTGTCAACTTTGGCACTTCTGACATCTTTGGCTGGAAAATCCTTTGTTTTGAGAGGCTGTTCTGTGCATTATAGGATGTTTAGCAGCACCCCTGGCCTCTGTACACTAGATCCAGAATCATCCCTACATGTCTTTGGATATTTTTAAGACAAATGTTCCAGGGAGGGGAGAAGGATGAAGTAATCCCCATCTGAGAATCAGGAGTGTAGAGGAAGTTACTAAGGCTGGGGGAGACCGGAAGACAACAGTGAGGTTTTTTTCTTTTTTTTTTTTTTTTTAATGTAAAAGCAGCTCATCCATCCTTCAACTCTGACCCTCAGTAGGGTCCAGAGGACATTTTCTTCATGAAGACTGTGTGAAATATAGTCATGAGAGTTGTTCCAGTATCCCTGCAGAGCTCTGTAGATTATTCACTGTGGAACAGAAATGACAACTGCTATCATGGATCCGGGCTTCCTGAATTCAATGTTGATGATAGGATTCTCAATGGCAAGGGTGATGTAGCAGCCTTAAATCTCCAAAGAAAATGTGCGCATCATTACTAGAATGGGCAGCAAAGTTGAAGTAGTTATCAGGAAAGTCTGATTTGCAGAGATCTTTGGGATTTGCTAGTTTGATCACTGTGACCCTAGAACTGAAATAGATGGGTGGTCTACTATTTGATTTGGAGAAGTAGAAAATGAAACCTCACTTGAATCACTACAAGAAAGTGTCACAGCCCTATAACCATTTCTCAAACTTGAGTCAGTTCACAGACTCAAAGCCTCTTGAATAAAGAAAGGGGCTGCAGGTTCCCGTATATACTTCCTCCTGGCCTTCCCCTAAGGGATCTGTGAAGAGTTAGCAGGGTGACCATGCAGTGGGGAAGGAGGAATCCAGACATTTTCAGGATTACTGGACATTGTTGCTGAAAAAAATTCCTAGAGACCCCAAATAGCACTGTGGTCCACCAACCAGGAGAGGTTTATGCAGATCAGGTCATCAGTGAAGTCTTGGACTAAGTCTCACAACCAGTGTGTCTATAATCCTATTCTGTGTTTATTTCCCTGGTTCTGGGATGCATAATCGGAACAGACACATCGAGCAACTAACTGGCAAAATCCCTACGCTGGTTCCCCAATCAGTGAAGTAAGGTCTATTATAGTAGGAAAGGCCAAGAAGCATTTCATGAAGTATAGTGAGTAAAGGAAAGGTACAATAAAAGCCTGATTTTCCCCTTTATCTTTTTTCAGAAAGAGCTGGTTCCATAGGATCTTCCGAAGGTGACCAAAGGCTTTTTTTCTTTAATATCATTCTGAAGTCATGGATTTTTAGTATATTTGACATGTTTCAATTTACTGCAGATATTCTTTTTGATGTTCAAATTGTTCCCACATCAGCCAGAAGGGGCCTACTTAAGTTGGCTCCTGGGTCCTTCTGATATGACCCAAATAATCTTGATACCTTCCTCCCCTTTTGCTACATCAAAGTGTTTCTTTTCTTTTCTCTCTCTCTTTTTTTAATGTTAGTCACCATACAGTACATTAGTTTTTGATGTAGTGTTCCATGATTCGTTGTTTCCATGTAACACCCCACTGCTCCATGCAGTACATGCCCTCCTTAATACCCATCACCAGGTTAACCCATCCCCCCACCCCCACCCCTCTAAAACCCTGTTTGTTTCTCAGAGTCCATAGTCTCTCATGGTTCATCTCCCCCTCCGATTCCCCCCCCTCATTTTTCCCTTCCTTCTCCTAATGTCCTCCACGCTATTCCTTATGTTCCACAAATAAGTGAAACCATATGATAATTGACTTCCTCTGCTTGACTTATTTCAATTAGCATAATCTCCTCCAGTCCCATCCATGTTGATGTAAAAGTTGGGTATTCATCCTTTCTGATGGCTGAGTAATATTCCATTGTATATCTGGACCACATCTTCTTTATCCATTCGTCTGTTGAAGGGCATCTCGGCTCTTTCCACAGCTTCTAGGCTCATATTATACTTTTCTATCCTAGATCTGTAATCAATCATTTCTCTAGAGTCCTGGTTTCTTTTAGGATACCTCATTGCAACTGAATACCGGTCACTGCCTCTTAGGTCCCTTAAGTGGACAGAGCCAGGAAATACATGTTTTTAAGAGTAAAACACATCATGAGTTCCCATGATAATATTCCCAATTTCAGTGTAGAAATACAAGTTTTATTTAATTTCCTTGAGTTTCTTCCCTCTTATTATAAAAATCTTGGTTCTTAAAGGCATTTCTATAATTACTCAATTCCTTTATCTTGTAATTATAAGTTTCAGAATAATAACACCAATATTATTTCTAATGATATAACTACTAAAGGCAGTTTATGGTTTTTTACATTTTCTTTTATCCTTAGGATTTATCTCACTAGGGATATACAGTCTAATTACTCTGTTTAATGTCACTTGAAATAATTTATTTGTGTAGTTAAGCCATCAGCTTCCTACACAATTAAGTTCATTTGTTTAATTTTACTTTTGATTTTTAGGTTTTTTAAAAATTTTGATTTAATTTAAAAGATAATTATATGAACATTTATATAGTTTTAAACTCAAGCCTATATATCTATAAGACAAGGTTCATTCAAAGAAGTCTAGCCTTCATCCTTTACTCCTTTCTCTCTCCTCATAGAGAACCATTTTAATTATTGTTTTGGTCACCTCTCTTATTTTTAAGAAGAGAATGTGTACATATGTATATGAACGTAGTGTATGTATAGCATGCTTGTATATATATGTGTACATACACACACACACACGAACACTTTCCCCTCTTAAAGGGCAGAATACTATACATACTGTATAGAATCTACAGATGGCTGGGGGGGTTGTTAACAAATTCATAACACTGAGTATTCTGATCAATTAACTTGACCTCTATTTACTTAGGCCTTCTTTAATCTTCCTGCTATCATAGTTCTCATGTAGAAGTCTCACACATTGTTAGATTTATTCCTGAGCATCTGATGTTTTTTGATGCATTGTAAATTTTACTAAAGTTTTGTTTTGAAGTATTTGTTGCAGATATGTGGAAATACAATTGATTTCTGTATATTTGCCTATTATCTATTAATTATTTTGGACTTACTACATATATAGTCATGTTGTCTGTGAAGAATGATTGTTTTCTTCCTTCCTTTCTAGTTTGTATACCTTTTATTTCATTTTCTTGCCACAGTGCACTGATAAAGACTTCTGATACAAATATTAATAGAAGTGGTAATAATGAACTTCTTTGTTATCTTCCCCATTTTCAAAGGAAAATTACTAACATTTTTTTTGCCATTAAAAATAATGTTTGCTTTAGAATAGATACCTTGACAAAATTAAAGAAATTCTATTCCTCGTTTGCTAAGAGTTATTTTGAAATATAAGTGGATATCAAATTTTATCAAATGCCAATTTTCTGTATCTATTGAGGAGATCTTATCATTTTTCTCTTTTAAAAAAGTTAATGTGATAAATTATATTAACTTATTAATTTTACATTCCTGGGATAAGGCCAAATTGGTAATAATTATTTTTGTTAGTTCTTTAATGCTCTTAGTAGATGCTTTTTATAATTCATCTAATTTTTTTAGTTGTGGTAGAGGTTTCAATTACCTAGCTCACCATTAAACTGGAAGCAGAAATTCTCTTCTCTTAAATTCATCCTAAATACATTTTTATTGCAGCATTCTACCAAAACTGCTCTTATCATGGTTAAAAAAGACCATCAAAGGGTGCCAAACTAAAAGGTCCATTCTCTGTCTTCACTCTACTCAACCACTCAGTATCATTTTATAAAACAATGGTTAAGAGCATACTGTCTTTACTGGTCATTTTGTTAGCTATGTGATTCTGAACAAGTTCCTTAACCTCCCTCAGCCTCAGTTTATCTGTAAAATGTAAATGATAGTGTTATCCACTTTGTAGTGTTGTTGTCAAGATTAAGTGCATGTAAGTTGTTTAGAACAAACATGTGCTAGTAAGTAAATATCACCTATTATTATTGCTTATACTCCTTCTGAAAAATAATTTTTTTTTTAACCATTCTATCATGATTCTTACTTCTCTGGATATTCCTTCTCAGTCTCTTGCAGTGGAATTTTCATCTCTCCAGACTTTAACTTTTGGAACTCAGTCCTTAGGTTTAATTTATCTAGACTTCCTTTCTACATGTTCTCATCCCATGACTTAAAAAATCACGTGTATGTTAATGACTCCCACATTTATAGCTCCTGCTGCAATCTCTTCCCTGAACTCCAAACTTACAGACTCAGCTGACTAGCTGATATCCTAATTTACATGTTTTCTAGGCAGCTCATATTTAACATGGCTCAAACTTTTTTTTAATGATCTCCAACCCTTTAAAATCTAATCCAAGTTACATTTTATATATCTATTATACAATACTTGCCTACCTTCTCCCTTCTACCCTTGCCCCTCTACAGTCTATTCTTCAAACTGCAATCAAACTGATTTGTTGAACATTTAAGCCTGATCATATCACTTTGCTCAAAGCCTTCCACAGCATCCCATTGCATTCAGCCTAAAAGCTCAAGTACTTTCTGGGCAGTGGTCAGCAAACCTTTTCTCCAAGGGCCACAGAGCAAATACTTTAGGCTTTGCAAATCAATCAGATTCTGCTGCCCAACCACAAAACATTATTATGCTATGCCTATATGCAAAGAGTATTAAGATTCTAAACTGCTATGTCCAACAAAAGTCATTATATCTTGTGGAATATGCATAAAATTTACAAAAATAAACAGTATGAGTTTTGGTTTATAATGCTTAATATTTTTCACAGCAGTTCAATAATATTTGCTTAATAAAAACATAAGATTTTTACAAGATTACGGCAAGGACCATTAAATGTTAAATAATTTATTCTGTAAAATGTATCAAACAATTAATAGTGGACTTACTTTAGATTACTGATTCTAATTTCTGCACTTTCAGTAAGTTTCTTTGTTTCTTCTTTCCACCTATTGGCTGCCTTCTGTTGAGTCACTAAGAGATGCCTCAGTTCAACAGTGGAATTTCGATTACTATCTTCCAGCTCTCTCAGTTGAACTTCAAATCCATGTTCCCTTATTGAAAATTCATGTTCCATTGTACTGATCTAAGGAATAAAATGAACACAGTATCTTCTTTTTCTTTTGTTATTATAGGAGATATACTGATCAATGATAATACACAAAAGAAATCATTCATTGTGTTGTTTGAGGCACAGAAATGTTTGGATGAGAAATCTATATAAAAATTAAGTTTATGTCTTCATCACAAATGAAGACTTATCCTAGATTAATTATATATTTATATGTAATTATATATATAAATTTATAGTACAATATAAATTTAGTGAAACAAGAATTATGATGGACTACGATTTTTTTGCAACACTTTCTTCAACACCTTAACTGCCAGTAGGAAAAAAGTAAACTATCTAATATAAACTGCTCTTATTATCTACTTTAACTTCTGTTGCCAGAATCCATGGAAAATATGCTCTCAGTAACTGAAGAGTTTTTTCCTCAAGTCATTAAAAAAATTACAGAGCTTCTACAACCTCCCCAAGTGCACCACCCTCTTGGCACCTTGATGTATTCAACAACTCAAAATCTCAAGTCACTTCATACTAAATTTCAAATTGTCTTTCAAAGGGTTTTGTAAAGAAAATCATATACAAGAAGTCCTTTACCACTTCAGTTATGATATACTTTTTTTTTTTCAGGAAAAAAAGACTAATGATTTTCAGAATCTCATATGGAAATATCTTCCATTATTTCTAGGTAATTTATGTCATTATAGTAAAAATACCCTAATGCAGAATAAACATATAAGTAAGTGCTCTTTGGATACTCTAGAAGCTTTCTTGACTCGGGATCAGGGAGAAAATGAAGCCCTAATGCTCTCTGGCATTCAATGTATGTAATGAATTGCCTTCTCTTGCATGCATCTAGAATGAAACTACCTATTACTATCCTGGAGGCAATTGAGAAAATCGTCACTAGAACAAGTTCTTTGGTGTACTCTAGGGCCATCTTTATCTTACTAAAGAAATATTATAAAGAATATCTTGTGGTATTTTAAAGTAGTGTGCTTTAAAAATCATCACAGCTGGTATAGCTTCTAATAATTCATTAAATACGGCGACTTTAAAAATCAAAAGAATGAATCAGGGACTCAACTTTCTCAACACCAAGGAAAACCCAATAAGAGCAAAATCCATGGTTTGTGGGGTAAACTGCAAACACACTGTTCTTACTACTTCTGCTTAAATGCAATGTGTTTCCTAAATTGCTTAAATTTTCTTTCTCAAATAGTACACAAGTAGAAATTTAAGACTTTCTAAATACTGGCCCTAAATACTGGGAAAACCACCATGGATTTATTAATTCTGTACTGTACTAAAGCCTCCTGACGCTCCCTGACTCCTGCTACTTTACTAATTTTTGTATTATTGGATTCTGTAAATTTAGATTTGAATATATTCCTTCTCCTTCTCTGCCTCAATCTCAACTTTGTCTGGAGAACCCATGGTTATGTTAGGCGGAATTGTGTGTTTCTGTCTTTGTCTTGCTCACATATATATTAAAAACTGATATATGCATCTATATAGTTTTAGACGTCAGCCTGCCTAGTTAGCTCCCCATTTCCTCTTGGAAAAATCTGTTTGTACTTTTGACAAGCCTTGTTCTGAGGTCCTTCATGGTAACCTGGTCTCTGCCTACTTCTACAAGCTTGTGTTATATCACTATTCCCTACTCTTTCTTTGTTTCTGTCACAATGCCGTCTCATTCTTGGCTCATTTTCACATGTTGTTCCCTGTGCCTGGAATAATCTTACCCCTCTTGCTTGTCTTAGTTATTTGTATTCAACTTTTAAAACTTAGCTCAGTTATTGCTTCTATCTAGACAAAATCACTTCCCTCTGTTATAAGATCCTACAGGGCCCTAAGTTTTTCCTAAAGTGCATTTATTAGTTTGTAAATGTATGTTTAAAGTTTGCCCATTTCCATGCAAACATTATGTTTTTAAGGAGGGGGCTGGGTCAGAGGGATCATGTCTTCATTATATCGTCAGCACCCGAAACATAGTAAAGTCATCAAAACACTGTGTAGACAGAGTGAATGATGGCTTTTTGGTATCAAAATTTAGTCTTTAAACACACCCCGGGATCCTTTAGCTGATAAAATTCCAGTTGTTAAACTGGACAGGCCGGCAGTGATGTTGGAAGACTCTGGGCTACAACCAGGTCTCCTATAACAAAAATCCAACTGATGATTAAATTCAGTATATTGGTAGGAAGAAAGGATTTATGGTCTCCCTCCCTTTTTTCTTTGTGTTCTTCCTCTGCAGAGAACCACTCACACAAATAGAGTGGAATGCTAAAACTATCCATTTCCTAATTTTATGTACTTATGAGGAGAATTTAGAAACAAAGAAATGGAGAGCCCTGGCGGAAAGAACAGAGAAGTTAGAAAAGGGGAAAGCTAGGGCTGAAAGGAATGCAGTGGCCTTAAGATCAAACGAAAGTTTCATATAATAAGTTGTAAGGTTCTCAGCCAACTGACCTCTCAATATCCAACTGTCTTGATCTTTTTGGCTCCTTTCAGTTTGTCTAGGGAAGATCACACTCTTTTTCAAGGGGAAGAAAAGCAGCGAAGTGTAGCACTAGGTTCCTATGTTGGCAAAGAAGGAATCAGCTACAAAGCAGCAGTTATCTGACAGTGATTCTCCTTTATAAAATAGAATTTATAGCTATCTAGTTAGTTAAGATTTAGATTTGAATATATTCCTTCTCCTTCTCTGCCTCAATCTCAACTTTGGAGAACCCATGGTTATGTTAGGCGGAATTGTGTGTTTCTGTCTTTGTCTTGCTCACATATATATTAAAAACTGATATATGCATCTATATAGTTTTAGACGTCAGCCTGCCTAGTTAGCTCCCCATTTTTTTACCAATTTTTATTTACCAATAATTCTTAAGCTAGATGCAGACTTGACAAAAAGGGAGCAGTTTTGGTGGGACACGTGGGATAGATAAGCTTTCAGTCATTCTTTTGTTCTCTAAAATATCAATTACTATCCTGAACTGTTAAAGATAGATAAAATGTAGTACCAGGTAAGGGAAAGTCATTGATTCGTCTCTTCCCCATTATAAAAACCAAAACCCCAGAACAGATGTATATTGTAAAATAATGGAAAATAAAAAAATTAAAAATATAAGGTCTCTGTAATCTACAACTCAGAGATAACCACGTCTACTTCTACATAATTGTTTTTATTTATGAATTTTAGAATTTAGTGTATATAGAATTGCAATATATATATAAATATATATTCAGATGTTTTTATTATTTTTAAACCTAGAATACAACAATATAAAAACATTATAAATTATTTGGAAACAATTTTTAATAATGACTCAAAGTATTGTATAGTTGTACCATTTCATTGTTCCTTTATTTCTAGAGGTTGTCTCTAATTTGTTATTATGAATAAGGCTGCAATGAATTTTTTAAATTATGAAATATTCTAATTATTTTCTTATGAACAAATTTTAGACTCTGTACCATTTTAAATGTTCAGGTGCACATTCACTCACACTGGTAACCATGCAGTTAATCAACAGTGAGTTTAAACTTTAAATATTGTTCATTAGCAATTGTTTCCTTAGTTTGTGAATTCTGCTCATGTCTCATACATGTTTTTCTTATAGGTTACAAATATTCTTCTTTAATATTTTTCAAAGCTCCTTATATGGTTTTTGTCTTTTGTTATATTTACTAAAATTATTTCCCCCAGTTATTTCTTTTCTAAACACTTAAAAAATGGTTCTAAATATTTAAAAACTTTATATATTTAAATCTATTAATATATTTATTTGCAGAAATATTTTAGAAATATATATTTATATATATAAATATATGTTTATATATTTATATATATATATAAGAAATATATTTCTTCCTTTTTTTTTGGTTTTGTTTTGTTAGGAAAGTTCTTTTTCATCTATCAGTTATACATTTGCCTACATTTCCTACTAATGTTTTATAGTTTCACTAGTAGCTTTAATTATTAATCCATATGAAATTTATAATATGAAATTTAAAATATGAGGAAGATATAACATTTTTTCACCAAAGTACACGGACTTATTTTATTATGGAAATGTTTTAGTATGAGAACTTTCAAGCATACACAAAACAGAATATTACAACGAATCCCTATATGCCTATCACCCAGCTTCCATAAGCATCAAACTCAAAACTATTCTTGTTTTATCTACAATCCTACTGACCTTCCTTTGCCAAGATTTATCTTTTGCTTACAATGCACTACATGTCTTAGGGGTACAACTCAAGTTTTACAAATATCCTGACATACCAGAGTCACCACCCTGATTTAGATGCCCCCCCAGAGGCTCCCTCATATGCCCTTCTAATCATTACTTACCCTTCGAAAATGTAACTGCTATTCTGATCTCACCCTCATAGGTAATTATGCCTATTCTTCACTTTTATATAATGAAATTAATAGACTATGAGCTTTTTTATGTCTGGCTTCTTTGTTCAACATTAGGTCTGTGAGACATCCATTATTACTTATAGACATAGTTCATTCTTTTTTATTCCTGCTATCTATTTCATGATTTGAGTACACCACCATTTATTTATGTAATCTCATGTGGATGGACATTTGCGTTATTTTCAATTTTTGACAAGATTAAAACTTCTATGAATATTCTTATATGTGTGTTTTCATGAACATAAGCACTCATATCTGTGGGTATGAAGCCAGCATTATTTGGCATTGTAGATATGCATGTCCAACTTTAAAAGACACCGCTAACTGGTAGTTATATCAACTTACATTCACTAAGTATTATATGGAAGTTCCAGTTGCTTTACATCTATCTTTGTCAACACTTGATGCTCTTAGTTTTTTTTGAACTTTAGCCATTCTGGTAAGTATGCAGTGGTACCTCATTGTAATTTTAATTATATTTTGTTGATAAATAATGCAGTTGAACATTTTTTCATATATTCTCTTTTGTGAAGTGCATATTTCAGTTTTTTGCCCATTTTTGGAAATAGGGTGCTTGTTTTTTTCTTATTAATTGTGGTTTTTATCATTATTAATTGGTAACAGTTTTTATATTCTAAATCTTAGTCTTTTTGTTTGTATTATATATATAAATGCATATTTATATATTATATTATTGTATTATAAATGTATTATATTACACACTATCTATATTTTATGTATTACAAATACTTCTTGTATTATAAATACCTTCTTTCACTTTCACTCTCTTAATGGTATCTTTTTTTTTTTTGACAATTTAGATTGTGATTTTTAATAGGCAAAACTGGCAAACCAGAGTCAGCATTGTACTGTGGTATCTTTTGATGACTCAATAATATTAATTTAATGAAATCCAATTAATCTTTATGTTATGATTATTGCATTTGTGTTCTCATTTTTTGCCCAAGATCATGAAGATTTTCTCTATGAAGCTCCATTGTTTTATATGTTGCATTTATGTCTACAAGGCAGCTCAAATTAATTTAAATGTATGGTATGATATAGGGGTCAAGGTTTATTTTTAAAATATGGACCAAATTGATCTAGCATCATTTATTATAAAGATAATTCTTTCCATATTGAACTACAGTGGTGCTTTTGTTATAAATGAAGTGATTATGAAAAATGGGTTTGTTCCTGGACTCTGTTTTGTTCCATTGATCAAGCTAATTATTATTATACTGATAGCACACTGTCTTAATTACTATAGCTTTATAAAAAGTCTTGAATCCCCACAGACTAAAGCATAAAGTAGAAACTTCTCTGTATGATATAAGGCTCTCTTTCAGAGTTCAAGCTTTTATAAATAGTGTTTGATGCTTGCAGTAGGAGGCATTCAATAAATGTGCTGATATGAATTAGACTGGAATGTGACTTCTTATGAGTATAGAGCAACAAAAAACAAAGTGAAACATGAATACTGCCACCTCATATCCTTTCTATGAAACTGGAAGATATAGGTCTTTATCATAAAGAGTTAATGACAACTTTTATAAAAGTTGCGTGGAATGGGGTAAGGCAAGGAACATGGTAAAGATGATATCAGTGCTTCTTGAAACTCTCTTAAACAGGTTATCTTGTTCCTATTGTCAAAGCATGTTAAACATTAGCATGAGGAAGGAGTAAAAGAGAGTGACAATAAAGGAGAATTTTTTTTCTAAAGGAGACTTTTGTCCCTTGCCTTCATCCTAGCATGGAAATTTTAGACTACATATGAGAGGTTCTCAGAGCATACTGATGTAGCATCCTCTATAAAGTTGGTTTTAGAGTTTAATTTTTAAGAGGCTATTATAGAAGAGAGGATGGTAGTCTATAAAGTTATCTAATCTATAGTTTTGCTAGCACTGCTTAAATTGCTTTGGCGGGAATATCAGTGTATTTCATGGTTGCAAAGAATTTTGTGTGTGTGTGGATAGTGAAAGCAATCATTTTCAAGTATGCTTGCCAAATTCTATAATACAAAAAAGACTGGTTAATGCTCTGCATTATGATTTAGTGCTATCTGATAAAAAGACCTTAAAAATGTTTTACTGGGTCTCTCTAAATGCTTTTTATATTTTCACTTTCACAAATACACATTTAACTCTAACTAGTCTGCAAAATACCTTTAATTTGGCTTTTTTTTGAGCCTCGAGAGCAAGCTTTCTTAAATCTTCAGTCTCTTTCTGTAACTGTTCATTTTCTTGCTGAAGTTTCAGCCTTTGTTCACTGACAAATCCACAGTTCTCTCTCTCAGACTCCAATATGTTTTGAAGTTTCTGAATCATTTCTTGGCAACGGGATATCTCTTCTGAGGAACTGATTAAAAAAACAAAAGGAACCTTTAAACTTAATGATCTGTAATGAAAGTCAAGAAGTTATGTTTTATAGTATAGACTTTTGTATTCTTTGTTCCGACCCATTACTCTTCACTGTAGATTTAAACTATGTAGTTTCACAATGTTGTATTATCCCAGGCAAATAACAACCAATTTAGCAATCTCATCTAATAAACTGAACTGTTACCACTCACCTAGAAAATCTATGTGAAACTTTTTTTCAAATTTTGCTAAAAGTGAGAATCACTGTGTAACAAAGACTTCAAGGGGATAAACTGAAGCTAATGGTAAGGAAGGTGATGTAGGTAATGATCAAAATTCCTTTATTACTTCAATCAACTCCATAGGAAGACACATTAGCTGTCTATATTACTAAATTACAATAAGACCTTTTCATATTTTCCTGTTATATGACTTAAAAATTTTCTTAAAAATAAACTTCCAGTTCTATAAACCTCTTGTTTTATCAGTTTAAATAGGTTATATTTCTTGAACTTTCTCAATAATGGATTACGGGGTGACAAAACCTTCAAATGTATATTGCTTCGATATATGGCAAATTTTTATTCCTATCTTTAAAAATTTCCATTTTTTCAATCCTGCTAATCAAATACTGCGAACATTATCTGGTCAATACGTGTCAGAGGGAATATATAAGGTCTTTTATTTCCATAATACTTTGGCTCTTTTTTCCTATTTCAACTTTGGCTGATGAAGTTCCTAAGGAAATGACAGATCTAGGTAATGATCATCAAATGATAAAAATAGAAAGATGTTAACATCAGAAATAATCACATATTATGTGCCTACAAACTGAAGTCCAAAATGTTACCATTTATAAGGAATTCTTACAAAAAAATGTGAACTGGATCAGGTCAAGCCTCTTGATTTGATTACTAGTTTTTAGGAATTACATGGGACAGAGAAACAAGGTAAATGGCATCACATATATGCATGCAGGCAGAGGAAACTAGAATACAAACAACCTAGGTTTTCAACAAATTGTAAGAAAAAAATAGAGAACTGGGGGGATAACTAGAAATAAATATCCATCTATTCACCCCCCCATCCATTCATCTGTTAATGGACACTTAGGTTGTTTCCATATCTTGGCTACTGTGAATAATACTGCAATTAATGTAGAGTGTAGATATTTTTTTGAGACAGCGATTTTGTTTCCTTTGACATATACACAGAAATGGATCATATTGCAGTTTTTAAACTTTTTTGAGGAACCTCTGTACAGTTTTTCATAGTGGCTGTACCAATTTACATTCCCACCAATGTACAAGGGTTTCCTTTTCTCCATATCCTCACCAACACTGGTTATCCTTTGTCTTTTTTTTTTTTTGGATTTAACAGTTTATTATGATTTATGAATGTCATTTAAAAAACATCAGTCCATTAAGCCATGTAGAAATAAGTATGCAAAAAGCCTGCAAAACAAAACATGCTTTAAACATGGTTAAGTAGAGGAATTATCTGAAATTGTGGATTTTCCAATCACTTCATTGTGCTAATGGCAGCCTAGTAATCCTTAACTTCTGTTGAAGTAAGCCTCCTAAATCTGGCTTTATGGCAGGTTCCAACTTCTATGGTATCTTCTGTCATCTGCCCTTCAAAGCTTTCCTTTAGGCTTAATATGGCCATATGAATGCATCTTCAAATTCCAGGTCTTTGTTATTTTTCTTGAGGAAAGTCTTCTCATTCACATAGTTCTTTCCCATTGCTGAGGCTTTCCAGGCAAAGTGAGCTCCAGATGGATCTGACTGAAATAAATACAGTTGCCCCTCATTCCAACCACAAATTAGTAAAGAAACTCCAAATGCATGAACACCACCTGATTGAGTATATTCTTGCATCACTATACCAGCTGAGCTGCTAGAATGGGTTCTTGGTAAATGAGGTATCACTGAGCTAGTTTTTGAGCTCTGTACACAAGCACTCTGTAATCTGGGCCCATGCCACTATACACCAAGCCTGACTGACTCCACTTTGTGTAGACTTTGCTCATCATACAGAATGGACTTGTTTCTTCTCAGTTGCTAATACCACACTATTTGCAGCTTTAATTCCCACTGGAGGGGCTTCTCCAGCTACAGCAGTGAAAGCATATTCAATCGGGATAAGTTTACATTTGCTGAATGCTGTCAGCCAAAAGCTGTACCTGTGCTCTGCCATCTTTCTCTGGAGTCTATCTTCTTTTTGATAGCCATTCCAACAGGTGTGAGGGGATACGTCAATGTGATTTTGATTTGCATTTTCCTGATGTTCAGTGATGAAGAGCACCTTTTGATATACCTGTTGGCCATTTGTATGTCTTCTGAGAAAAGTCTCTTCAGGTCCTTTTCCCATTTCTAAAGCAGTTTATCTGTTTTGCTATTGAATTGTTCAACTTCCTTACATATTTTCGATATTAACTCCTTATCAGATATTGCTTGCAAATATTTTCTCCTATGCTGTAGGTGGTCTTTTCACTCTTGATTTTTCTCTTTGTTATGCAGGAACTTTTTAGTTTGATGTAATTCCACTTGTTTATTTTTGTTTTTGTTAATTGTACTTATAGGGTCAGATCCGAAAATCACTGCGAGGACCAACGTCAAGAAGCTTTCCCCCTGTTTTCTTCTAGTAGTTTTACAGTTTCAGGATTTACATTTCAGTCTTGAATCCATTTTGAGTTGATTTTTGTATATGGTGTGAGATAAGGGTTCAATTTCATTCTTCTGCACATGGACATCCAGTTTTCCCAATACCACTTATTGAAAAGACTATCCTTTCCCCATTGTGTGTTCTTGGCACTCTTGTCAAAGATCAGCTGGCCATAAATGCATGTATTTATTTCCAATGATCTACATGTCTACTTTTTATGCCTGTACCATACTGCTTTGATTTTTTAAAATAATTTTTCTTTCATTTATTATTTATTTATTTATTTATTTATTTATTTATGATTTTATTTATTTGTCAGAGAGAGAAACAGCACAAGCAGGGGGAGTGGCAGGCAGGGGGAGAAGCAGGCTCCCCGCTGAGCAAGGAGCCTGATGCTGGACTCAATCCCAGGACACTGGGATCATGACCTGAGCTGAAGGCAGATGCTTAACTGACTGAGCCACCCAGGCATCCCCCATACTGTTTTGATTACTGAAGACTTGTAATATTTTTTGAAATCAGGAACTGTGATGCATTCAGCTTGTTCTTCTTAAGATTGCTTTGTCTACTCAAAGTCTTGAGATTCATTATGAATTTTTTTTAAGAATTTATTTATTTGACAGAGAGAGAGAGAGCACAAGCAGGGGGAGTGGAAGAAGGAGAGGGAGAAGCAGGCTCTCTGCTGAGCAGGGAACCAGACACAAGGCTTCTCGATCCCAGGATCCCAGGATCATGACCCCAGCCAAAGGCGATGCTTAACTGACTGAACCACCCAGGCGCCCCCATTATGAATTTTAGGATTGTTTTTTCTATTTTTGTGAAAAATGCCATTGGAAATTTGATAGGAATTTTATCAAATCTGAAGACTGCTTTGGATAGTATGGACATTCTAACAATATTATTTCATCCAATTCATGAAGATGGTATCTTTACATTTATATGCGACTTTCTCAATTTCTTTCACCAATGATTTTTAGTTTTCAGTGTAAAGTTTTTTCACTTCCCTGGTTAAATTTAGTCTAAGTATTTTATTCATTTTGAAGCTCTTATGAATGGGATTGTTCATTTCTTTTTCAAATAGTTTATTGTTAGTGTATAGAAATGCAACTGATTTTGGTATGTTGATTTTGCATCCTACAGCTTTGCTGAATTTATATATTAGATCTAATGACTTTTTTGGTGGCATCTTCAGGGTTTTTTCAATATATAGGATCATATTGTCTGTAAACAGAGTCAATTTTACTTCTAATTTGGATGATTTTCTTTTTTTTTTCTCTTGTAACTGCTCTGACTAGCACTTCCATTACTATGTTGAATAGAAGTGGCAAGAGTGGACACCACGGTCTTGTTCCTGATCTTAAAGGAAAAGATTTTAGCTTTTTTTCACCATTCAGTATGATGTTAGTTGTGGGCTTGTCATATATGGCCTTTAGTAGGTTGAGGTACATTTCTTCTCTAATTTGTTATTTTTTTAATCATGAATAGATGTTATATTTTGTGAAATGCTTTTTCTGTATCTATTGAAATGATCATGAGTTTTATCCTTCATTCTTTAATGTGGTATAGCCCATTTACCAATCTGCATACCATCCTTGTCTCCCAGGTATTAATTCTACTTGACAATTATGTATGATCCTTTTAATATGCTATTGAATTTGGTTTGCTAGTATGTTTTTTGGAGTATTTTTGCATCTGTGTTCATCATGGATATTAAGCCTGGTATTCTATTTTCTTTTGCTTTTTTTTATTTTATTATGTGATGTTAATCACCGTACATTACATCATTAGTTTTTGATGTAGTGTTCCATGATTCAATGTTTGCGTATAACACCCAGTGCTCCATTCATTATACGCCCTCTTTAATACCCATTACCAGGCTAACCCATCCCCCCACCCAAGCCTGGTATTTTCTTTTCTGATAGTGTCTTTGTCTTGTTTTGTTATCGGAGTAATGCCGGCCTCATAAAATGAGTTTGGAAATGTTCTCTCTTCAATTTTTTGGAAGAGTTTGAGAAGGACTGGAATTTAAGTCTCCTCTAAATGTTTAGTAGAATTCACCAGTGAAGCCATCTGGTTCTAGACTTTTCCAAAACCCAAGGAGGTTTTTGATTACTGATTCAATCTCCTTACTAGTTTTCAGATTCAGTCTTGGAAGGTCATATGTTTCTAGGAATTTATCCATTTCTTCAAGTTTATCTAATCTGTTGGCATATAATTGTTCACAGTAGTCTCTTATGGTCCCTTGTATTCACGTGGTATCAGCTATAATGTCTCCCCTCTTTTATTTCTGATTTTGAGTCTTTTTTTCTTAGTCTAGCTAAAAGACTGTCAATTTTATCTTTTCAAGGGTGCCCGGGTGGCTCAGTCATTAGGCGTCGGCCTGCGGCTCGGGTCATGGTCCCAGGGTCCTGGGATCAAGCCCCACATCAGGCTCCCTGCTTGGTGGGAAGCCTGCTTCTCTCTCTCCCACTCCCCCTGCTTGTGTTCCCTCTCTTGCTGTGTCTCTGTCAAATAAATAAATAAAATCTTTAAAAACAATTTTATCTTTTCAAAAGACCAAGTCTCAGTTTTATTGATCTTTTCTATTGTTTTGTAAAAATTCTCTATTTCTACTCTTATCTCTGTTATTTCCTTCCTTTTGGGCTTAATATTTTTCTTCTTTTTCTAGTTCTTGAGGTGTATGGTTAGGTTGTTTATTTGAGAGATTTCTTAATGTATATTTATTGTTATAAACTTTGCTATAAACATCCCTCTGAGAAGTGATTTTGCTGCATCCTCTAAGTTTTGGTATATTATGCTTCCATTTTCATTTGTGTCAAGATATTTTTGATTTCCCTTTTGATCCACTGATTGTTCAAGAGTGTGTTAATTTTCCAATTTTCCTCCTGTTACTGATTTGTAGTTTCATACCATTGCACTTGGAAAAGATACTTGATATAATTTTAATCTTCTTAAATTTGCTAAGACTTGTGGCCTATCATCTGATCTATCCTGGAGAATTCAACACTTGAGAAGAATGTGTCTTCTGGTGTGTTGGACAGAATGTTAGGCCAATTTGGTCTTTAGCATTGTTCAGAGGTACTGTTTTCTTACTGATTTCCTGTTCTGGATGATCTATCTATTGTTCAAAGTGAGCTATCAGTTTCCTACTTTTACTGTATTGCTCTCTATTTTTCCCTTCAGCTCTGTTAATATTTGCTTTATATATTTAGGTGCTCTGAGGCTGAATGCATATAGTTTTATGATTGCTATTTTCTCTTGTGAATTAACTCCTTTTTATCATTATATAATAATCATTTTTGTCTCATGATAATTTTTGACCTAAGTCTATTTGTCTGATATAAGATACCCCTGCTGTCTTTGGGTACCATTTGCATGGAATATCTTTTGCCATCTCTTCAATTTTGGCCTATGTGCTTCCTCAAATGTAAAGTGACTTTCTAGTAAGCACCATATGGCTGGATCTTATTTTCTAATCCATTTAGTCTATGTCTTTTGATTAGATAATTTAATCCACTTAAATTAAAAGTAATTATTAACAGGTAATAACTATTGTGATTTTGTTAACTGTGTTCTGTTTTGCAGTTCCTTTGTTTCTATATTCCTATTTTAGCTGTCTTTTGTTGAATTTTTATAGTGGTTGCTTTCATTCCTTTATCTTTTGTCTACTACACATTTTTTTCTGATTAGCATGAGGCTTACATAAAACATCTTATAGTTTGAAATTTGTAACAAATTTAACTTCAATCACATAAAAATCTCCACACTTTTACTTCTCTGCTCCCTCACATTTTTGTTACTGATGTCATACATGTTTTTATATTGTATATCAATTAACACATTATTGTACCTCTATTATATTATTATTATTTAAAGATTTTATTTATTTATTTGACAGAGAGAGACACAGTGAGAGGGAACACAAGCAGCGGGGGTGGGAGAGGGAGAAGCAGGCTTCCCACTGAGCAGGGAGCCCGATGCGGGGCTTGATCCCGGGACACCGGGATCATGACCTGAGCCGAAGGCAGACACCCAACAACTGAGCCACCCAGGCGCCCCTGTATCTCTATTATTTTTAATACTCTTATCTTTTAACTTCTATATTAGTGTTAAAAGTGATTTATGTACTATTATATGCAGAGTATTCTGAGTTTGACCATATACTTACTTTTACCAGTGAGTTTTATACTTTCATATATTTTGATGTTGCTAATTAGTATCCTTTCATTTCCACTTGAAAAACTCTTTAGCATTTCTTATACAGCAACTCTAATGGTGAGGTAACCCCTTTTGAGCTTTTGCTTGTCTTAGAAAATTTTTAATCTCTCCTTCATTTCTGATGGATAACTTTGCTGGGTATAGTATTCCTGGTTTGCAGTTTTTTTCTTTCAGTACTTTGAATATATCATACCACTCTCTCTCTGCTGCAAGGTTTCTTCTAAGAAATCCACTGACAGTTTTATAGGGTTTGGGGGGAGTCCCTTGTATATGATGAATCATTTCCTGTTTTCAAAATTCTTTTTTATGTTTGGCAATTTGATTATAATGTGTCTAAGTGAAGACCTCTTGATGTTGAGCCAATTTGTGATTCTTTGGGTGTCATGGATCTGGATGTTCAACTCCCTCCCCAGATTTGGGAAGTTTTCTATTATTATTTCTTTATAAACTTCCTGTTCCTTTCTCATTCTGTGCTCCTTCTGGGATTTTCATAATGTGTATATTGGTTTACTTTAAGATGTTCCATAGCTCATGTAGGTTTTCTTCACTCTTTCATTCTTTCTTCTCTTTGTTTCTCTAACTGGATGATTTCAAAGGACCTATCTTCAAGTTTGCTGATTTTCTTCTGCATGATCAAGTCTGCTGCTGAAACTCTATAGAATTTTTCAGTTCAGTTCTTCAGCTCCAGGATTTGTTTCTTTTTAATGGTTTCTATTTCTTTGTTAAACTTCTCATTTTGTTCATGTATCATTTTTCTGATTTCATTTAGTTGAATGTGTTCTCTCATAGTCTACTGAGTTTCTTTAAGACAATATTTAAAATCTTTGTCAAGCAGTTCATAAGTCTCCGTTTCTTTTGGGTCAGTTAGTAGAGCTTTATTAGCTTCCTTTGGTGTTGACATGTTTGCCTGATTCTTTCTTGGTATCTGTATATTTGAAAAAGCAGATTCCTCTTCCAGTCTTTACAAACTGATTTTGGCAGGTAGACTTTCTCCCTCCAAGTCCTACAACTGATAGGGCTGCTTCTGGGATTGTGGTTGAGTAAGGCTGAAACCGTGTCATGTGGCTATTGCCAGGTTCATGGTTGGCAAGCATGTCATCGGGGCACAAGCAGGTGTTGTGTCCCATGGGTTCTTAAGGGTGCTCCTGTCATGTCACTGGGCTGGTTCATGGGTGGGTAGGACTGCTTTTGGACTGTGGTAGAGTGGGACTAAAGTTGGGTCACAAGACTGCCTCCGAGATTGTACTCAGGTCTGAGGTCAGTGGGTGTTTAACTGGAAGCATCTGCAAGTGTGGCTTCTGCTGGGTCTTTTGGGTGGATTCCTGCCCATGAAAGACTACCTCAAATTGTGGTAGAGCACTGCGGGATCCATGTCTTGTGGTTTTTGCTAAGTCTGTAGTCAGGTGTGACTTCTGCTGGGCAACAGTTAGTACTCCCATAAGTTTACTGGGCTGGTTTCTGGGAGAGCAGGATCGCCTCCACACCATAAGAGAGTGGAACTAGAGCTGGGATGCAGGAACAACAGTCAGCTCTGAGGCTGGCAGACCTGTTATCAGAAGTATCCACAGGGATGGCTTTTGCTGAGTCCCTTGGTGGAGGGGGCCAGGTATAGGACTGTGGACAAGTAGGCTTAGAGCCAAGACCATAGGGAGATGGGACCATAGGGTGCACTGCCACTGGTGCATAAGCTTCCCTCCCTGTTTTTGGGCTCCAGCAGTGTTTTGTAACCTCCTACCTGGATCCCAAAGCTCTCACAAAAGCATTTTTGTCCAGGGATGCCTTTCATATATTTTTCTGTGGAGGGACATGGGCTGGGTACCTCCAATTCATTCCACTGTGTTGCTGACATTATTCCTCTTTATTTTTAAAATATTAAACATATTCTGTAACAGACTGAGACTTCATGCAATTCAAATTAAGTTTTACTGTATTAAATAACACTCTGGGGGAGAAAGGTAGAAAAATATTCAGAAGGGATATGCCAGGCTATAAATTTACCATTTTAGTAGACAATGTAATAAATAAACATGATGGATTATAAACTGAGTATAAAAGCAATAATTATAAGGAAGCTACTGTAAAAGCTGCATAGTTAGTATGAAACTCAGTCTTATCAGCATTCTATTTAACTGCCAAAAAGGAGAAATTTAAAATAAAATGGTATAATACTGTTAAATCTTTTCTTCCTGAGGAAATTAGTTTTCAGAAATAAGCTTAAAGGGGTGACCGGGTGGCTCAGTTCGTTAAGCATCTGCCTTCAGTGCAGATCATGATCCCAGGGTCCTGGGATCAAACCTCATGTTAGTCTCCTTGCTCAGCGGGGGGCCTGCTTATCCCTCTCCCTCTGCCTGCTGCTCCCCCTGCTTGTGCTCTCTCTCTCTGTAAAATAAATAAATAAAATAAAAAAAAAAAAAAAGAAAGACGCTTAAAAAATTCTATTTGGTGCTAAAGTTTTTTTTTTATCATATATGTAAGTCATATTTAAAAAAAGTAAAGAATCTGTCATAAAGTGTATGAATTCTGAAAATGTTAACAGAAAATCGAAAAGAATAACTTACTTTATTTCAAGTTGTTTTATTTTATTTTCTGCTGTCTTAAGTCTTAGTTGAAGATCATCTTTTGAACGCTCTGCAACCAGACATCTTTGGTGCATTTCTTCTAGTTTTCTGTAATCACTTTCATTTACTCTACCTTCATGGTAAATCTGCAAAAGAAGATTATATGTATATTACCTTACAGAAGAAAACTGTCTTAAGAAATTACACAGTTTATCAATGATAAATAAAAACCCATAATCATGTGTTCATCTGTTCCCATTGTTACACAGTAAGACATATCAGTAACTTTGGTTATTTCATATTTAAAAAATGTTGAAAACTGACACAAAAATTATTTATTTTTTGAAAGTATTCATGCTCACTGCAAACTAGTTTTAATATGTTATTTTTAAAATTATTTATTTTATCCTTTCTTTTATTAATGTAATGTGTCATGTTGATTGATTTGCAAATACTGAACCACCCTAACAACCCAGGAATAAATCTCACTTAATCATGGTGAATGATTTTTTTAATGTATTGCTGGATTCAGTTTGCTAGTATTTTTATTGAGAATTTTTACATCCATGTTCATCAGGGATAATGGCCTGCAGTTCTATTTAGTAGTGTCTTTGTCTGGTCCGGGTGATGCTGGCCTTATAGAATGAATTTGGAAGGTTTCCTTCCTTTTCTGTTTTTTGGAATAGTTTGAGAAGAATAGGTATTAACTCTTTAACTGTTTGGTAGAATATGTTTGTGAAGCCATTTGGTCCTTGGGATAGTTTTAATATTTTAAAAAGAAATGTAAAATAGCTGAAAGAAAAGAAATATTCTAAATGTCACCAGTTAGAGATAACTGTTTTGATTAAATTGTTTTGAATACCCTTCAAGACAATTCTATATTCAGGCACACCTGGTGGCTCAGTTGGTTAAGTGTCTGCCTTTGGCTCAGGTAATGATCTCGGGATCCTGGGATTGAGCCCTGCTTTGGGCTCTCTGCTCAGAGGCGAGTATGCTCATGCATGTTTCCTCTTTCAAATAAATAAATAAAATCTTAAAAAAAAAAGACAATTCTGTATTCTGATATTAAAGAATACAGATATATGCTATGATGCAATAAACAGAACTATCTGAAAGTGATTCTATAATCTTACTCTGGATTAACTAGACCATAATCTAACTGAAATGGGGCTGCCTCTTTTCCCAACAGGAGTGGGTGTACCCAAGCTCAGCTTCTTATAAGACAGGCTTCCTACCACAACACAGGGGCTGTAACACCCTGAGAACCGTAAAGTTTCCAGGTGCTAAGCAGCTCACATTTCAGACAAATTCTACCCATAGCTACCCTCTAAATCCAGACTGCCTGGCCAAGCAACCTGTATCTTCTCCCACTGAAAAGACTGCTTTGTCACTCCTGCTCTATAAAAAGGTTGAATATCAGCAAGTTAATGTCCCACTACTAAAATACAGACGTGTGTATATATATAGATATATCTATGTCTATATATATATATATATCAGTACTTTGACTTTAGCACACTTGTCTGGGACAGTGGGATAGATTTAGGGACCTGTGCCTTTTCTTTACCTGTTGTCTTTAGTCTTGTTTTACATTTCCTCAATTAAGCCTATTCCTTAATCTATGCCATGTGATTTAAAAAATTTATCACAGCCATGATGTACAGTAGGTAGCAATCTAAATGGGATCGATCCCTATTCCATAATAGTAATTCAGAAGGAATCAACCTCACAGGAGACTGGTGACCATAAATGTCCTACCTGGAACATGACATATATACTTCTGCTATATGCTGCTTTTGTAAGTGACTCTTTTACTATCTGATGTCATGATCTTTTTATGTCACTAATACAGATATGTCACATGCTTTTTATACTATGTAGTTTTCTTTGAACATCAAATCTGGCTCTACCATTTACTACTTGTTAGCATGGGTAAGTTACTTAACCTCTACGAGTTCCTAATGCAGCACTTAAAACACAGTATATGCTGCATCAAGTTTCATTTCCCTTTTTTCCCAAGGCATTTTAAAAGAGTGGGATATTTACTGATGATAAAAAAAATATTTAAATAAGAAATAAAATTTTAAACTATAGACTTTTCACATTATTTTTTCTCAAATATCACTGGGGTAATACTTTCCTACTTAAGAAATAAAAATCTACACATTTAAAAGGTTAAAATCAGAGTAATATTCTAATTTTCTGGTTATATATACTTGTTTTTATAGATGGCTTACACCCAATAAAGGTTGGCATTAAATTTAAAAACAGAAGGGAGACCAAGTAAAATTTACTATTGGGATGAAGTTTAAACAAGGAATATAGCTACTTCATAAAATTTATACCTTTAAGTAAAAAGTACACATACTATGGCCACTCTTACAAAGAAATGTATTCAGGCAATACTAATATTTAAGTGTTGATTGTGAATATATTCCAAATAAAAACACTCACTTACACTGTAGGGGTTGCTAATAGACAGTGTGATGAAAGTGGAGAGTAATAGTGAGCATTTGCAGCTGAGTTTTAGGTAGGTTTTTTTTTTTTTTTTTACCTTTTCTAGTTCTCCTTCCACTGCTTTTTTCTCCCTAATGGCTCGTTCAATTTGGCCTTGTTTTTCAGCACACTCCTATAAATTCAATTCATATTGGAAATAAATATATTTGTAAAATCTTAAGAAAAAATGGATACATAAAATAATTTGTTCATAACAAGAATACCACACTTACCCTATCAATACAGCAGGACCATATTGATTATTAAGCAAAAACAAAAACAAAAAACTTCCATCTTCAAAGAGCTACCTATCTCAGGAGTTCTAAGTAAACATTCTAAATTAGTGACAGAGGTTGAGGGATTCTAGAGAGAAAAAAATGAGACCCTTTTCTCATATGTTTTATTCATATACTCTTATGACGTATTTTAAAAAGGAACACAGAAGAGGACAGCGACACCACACCCTGCGGATAACCTGTGGCCTAAAAGGCACACAGGTATATAAATAAATTCTAAAACTTTTTTTTTTTTTTTTTGCAAAACTTATAAAGAGCCAAGGGGTGCCTGGGTGGCTCAGTTGGTAAGCATCTGACTCTTGATTTCGGCTCAGGTCATGATCTCAGCATTGTGAGATCAAATCCCGCACTGGGCTCTGTGCTCAGTGGGGAGTCTGCTCAAGATTCTACTTCTCCCTCTCCCTCTGCCCTTCTCCTGCTCTGCCCTCTGTTCACATGTTCTCTCAAAAAAAAAGAAAAAAGAGCCAATGGACACAGTAAAAATTTTATTAGCATGATTATAAAACATTTCTGCTCCAAAGGCTTTAATCAGTAAAACTGAGCAAGCATATCAATCAGTTGATAAAATTTAGTATTTTGCAAATGAGAGTAAAACTGAAAACAATCATTTATAATGACTGGTTCCTCATAGCTATTTGTTTTTATCTATTTATTTTCGATAATGGCTGTGATTATTTTCTATTAATTGTATATTATGCTTTGGAGGAACCTCCTTACTGGCAGTACACTACTGATACTCAATTATCTTTAGCATAACTCTATTTTACAGAAGTACTGTATATCAATGTTTTTAAATTTTATTTTTTTTGTTTTATTTTCTTTAAAAAATATTTTATTTACTTGACAGAGAGAGAGAGCAAGAGAGGGGACATAAGCAGGGGGAGTGGGAGAGGGAGAAGCAGGCTTCCTGCCAAGCAGGGAGCCCAATGCGGGGCTCGATCCCAGGACCCTGGGATCATGACCTGAGCCGAAGGCAGACGCTTAATGACTGAGCCACCCAGGCGCCCCTCAATGTTTTTAAATTTTAAAATGAGCTTCTAAATTGTGACCCCAAATGAATTCTGATTATACTGAAGACCCTTAACCCTATGTCACTAATCAGATGATTGATCTAAATTTATTATCTTTCATTAAGGCAGAATTGTTAGTGTACAAGAAATGAAACTTTAATGTGCCATAATATGTTCATACAGTAAATTGCTAATCTATGAAAAGGTGGTTTTATGGTGTGAAATTTGGGATTTCTCCTATGTTCATAACTCATCTTATGTGATTGTTAACAGACTATTTTTAGAGCAGTTTTAGGTTAACAGCAACTTGACAAGTTAGAGATTTCCACTATACTTCTTGTCCCCATATGTGCAGAGCCCTCCCCCATTTTCAACATCCCTCACTGTAGTGGTATATTTATTAATACTGATGAACCTACACTGACACAACATTATCACTCAAAGTCCATAGTTTACATTAGAGTTCACTCTTGGTGCTGTATATTTTATGGGTGTGGACAAACTTACAATGACACGTACCCACCATTATAGTACCATACAGAGTAGTTTCACTGTTCTAAAAATCCTCTGTGCTTCATCTATGCTTATTCATCCCTCTCTCCTCCTAAACTCCTGATAACGTCTTTTTACTGTCTTCATAGTTTTGCCTTTCCCAGACTGTCAGTTAGAGTCAAACAGGATGTAGCCTTTTCAGACGAGCTTCTTTCACTTAATAATACACATTTTAGTTTCCCCCATGTCTTCTCATGGCTTGATAGCTCATTTCTTTTTAGTGCTGAATAATACTCCATTGTCTGGATGTACCAGTTTATTTGTCCATTTGCCTAACTAAAGGACATCTTGGTTGCTTCCAAGTTTTGGCAACTGTGAACAAAGCTGCTATAAACATCCATGTTCAGGTTTTTGTGTGGATATAAGTTTTCAACTCCTTTGGCTAAATACGGAAGAATGCAATTGTTGGACCATATGGTAAGAATATTTTAGTTTTGTAAGAAACCATCACACTGCCTTCAAAAGTGGCTATACCATTTTGCATTCCCACCAATGAATGAATTGAGAATTCCTGTTGCTCCACATCTTTCCCAGAGTTTGGTGGTGTCAGCGTTCTTAATTTTGGCCATTGTAATAGGTGTATCTGGTACATATTTGGCATAATGAGTAGCAGCTCATTGTTTTAGTTTGCACTTCCCTGGTGAAATATGATGTGTAGCATCTTTTCATAATCTTATATGCCATCTCTATATCTTCTTTGGTGGGGTGTCTGTTAAGATCTTTGGTCCACTTTTTTTTTTTTATTATGTTCAGCGTAGCCACTGGTTCATTAGTTGCATAGAACACCCAGTGCTCATCACAACGTGTGCCCACTTTTTATTTTTTTTAAAGATTTTATTTATTTGACAGAGAGAGAGAGAGAGAGAGAGACAAGGAGAGAGGGAATACAGAAGGGGGTTGGTGGGGAGCCCGATGCAGGGCTCGATCCCAGGACCCTCAGACCATGACCTGAGCCGAAGGCAGATGCTTAACAACTGAGCCACCCAGGTACCCCATGTGCCCACTTTTTAATTGAGTTGTTTTCTTATTGTTGAGTTTTAAGAGTTCTTCATATATTTTGGATAACAGTCCTTTATCTGCTATGCCTTTTGCAAATATTTTCTCCCTGTCTGTGGCTTGAATTTTCATTCTCTTGACAGTGTCTTTCACAGAGAAAATTTTCATTTTAATTCAGTCCAACTTATCAATTGTTTCATGGGTCATGCCTTTGATGTTATACCCAAAAATTCACTGCCAAACCCAAGATCATTCAGATTTTCTTCTATTTATCTTCTAGGAATTTTATAGTTTTGTGTTTTACATTTAGGTCTGTGACCATTTTGAATTAATTTTTGTGGAGGGTGTAAGGTCTGTGTCTATATTCATTCTTTTACATGTGAATGTCTAATTGTCCTAGCACGATTTGCTAAAAAGACTGTCTTTGAACCACTGTATTGCCTTTGCATCTTTGTCAATGATCAGCTGACTGCATTTAAGTGGGACTATATTTTATTCCATTCTAGATTCTGTATTTTATTCCATTGATCTATTTGTCTATTTTTTCACCAATATCACACTAGCTTATTATAGCTTTATAGTAATTCTTGAAATCTGGTAGTGTCAGTCCTCTGATTTTGTTCTTCTCCTTCAATACTGTGTTGGCTATTTTTGGGTCTTTTGTCTCTCCAGATAAGTTTTATTTATTTAAAAATTATTTTTTGAATTTTTATTTAAATTACAATTAGTAACATCAAAAACTAATGATGTAATATATGGTGATTAACGTAACAATAAAAAAAAATTACAATTAGTAACAGAGAGTGCAATATTGGTTTCAGGAGAATTCAGTGATTCATCACTTATATTCAACACCTAGTGCTCAACATAACAAGCGCCTTCCTTTTTTTTTTTAATTTTATTATGTTATGTTAGTCACCATACATCATTAGTTTTTTTTAATAATTTTTTATTGTTATGTTAATCACCATACATTACATCATTAGTTTTTGATGTAGTGTTCCATGATTCATTGTTTGTGCATAACACCCAGTGCTCCATGCAGTACGTGCCCTCCTTAATACCCATCACTGGGCTAACTAATCCCCCCTCCCCCCTCTCCTCTAAAACCCTGTTTGTTTCTCAGAGTCCATAGTCTCTCATGGTTCATCTCTCCCTCCAATTCCCACCCCCCCCTCATTTTTTTCCCTTCCTTCTCCTAGTGTCCTCCAGGCTATTCCTTATGTTCCACAAATAAGTGAAACCATGTGATAATTGACTTTCTCTGCTTATTTCACTTAACAAAATCTCCCCAGTCCCATCCATATTGATGTAAAAGTTGGGTATTCATCCTTTCTGATGGCTGAGTAATATTCCATTGTATATATGGACCACGTCTTCTTTATCCATTCATCTGTTGAAGGGCATCTCGGCTCTTTCCACAGTTTGGCTATTGCAGACATTGCTGCTATGAACATTGGGGTGCATATGGCCCTTCTTTTCATTACATCTGTGTCTTTGGGGTAAATACCCAGGAGTGCAATTGCTGGGTCATAGGGTAGCTCTATTTTTAAATTTTTGAGGAACCTCCACACTGGTTTTCAAAGTGGCTGTACCAACTTGCATTCCCACCAACAGTGTAAGAGGGTTCCCCTTTCCCCACAACCTCTCTAACATTTGTTGTTTCTTTCCCTGTCCATTTTTGCCATTCTAACTGGTGTAAGGTGGTATCTCAATGTGGTTTTGATTTGAATTTCCCTGAAGGCTAATGATGATAAACATTTTTTCATGTGTCTGTTAGCCATTTGTATGTCTTCTTCAGAGAAGTGTCTTTTCATATCTTCTGCCCACTTTTTGACTTGATTATTTGTTTTGGGTGTTGAGTTTGAGAAATTCTTTATAGATCTTGGATACCAGCCCTTTATCTGTACTGTCATTTGCAAATATCTTCTCCCATTCTGTGGCTTGCCTCTTAGTTTTGTTGACTGTTTCCTTTGCTGTAACAAGCACCTTCCTTAATACCCAACACCCATTTAGCCCATCCTTCACCCACTTCCCTCCATTGGCCCTCAGTTTGTTCTTTATTGTTTTTTTTTTTTTCCAAGATTTTATTTGAGAAAGAGAGAGAGTGCACATGTGCACATGAGCAGGGGAGGGGGAGGCTGAGGGAGAAGCAGACTCCCTTGCTGAGTAGGGAGCTGAAGCAGGGAGCCCGACCTGGGACTCAATATCAGGACCTTGGAATCATGACCTGAGCCGAAGGCAGACGCTTAACCAACTAAGCCACCCAGGTGCCCTGT